GGGAGGTGAATACGTTGCGACCGCGTTATCTCTCATAATTATTGTTCGCGTAATCGTCCGCGACGAAATCCTTGTGTTGATTGTGAGAAATTACACGGCGATTATGTCCACGGCTGCACACGGGCAAACGTTATTCGACATCCTCGTCGCCACGGGGGATTAGATAAGTAGCCGTGCGAGAATGCAGGGATGACTCCTTCCTGAGTTTTCTCCGCGTGAATGATTTTGTGCGTTAACGTCTCATCCCTATCGCTATATTTACATTGCTGTAAATTATACGTTATGCGTACTAATAACAAGCTGCAAACTGCCCTAATGAAAAGCACTGTAAATTAGATTTATACGTGCGTCAACGAGATAAAGTACTCTCGTAAGCAGTTTATGTTTCATATTTTATTTATTATTTATTTTACTCTTAGGTGGAGTAGATGGCTGTGATCTTCGAAATAAATGGCTGTAATGAAAAAGATTTTAAAATCCTTACCGAAGCAATGACTAACATCAATTCAGTAATACTTTCAATTGATTGTTGTTACGACTGTCATGTTTGAACTACACGACGATACAAAATGTCATATTTTAGCTAACTTTAAGTTGATGCAATCTTAAATTAATGCATGTAAAATTTTCAAGACTATAAATTATACGACGTTTATTTAACTGCTAGTACAGAAAAAAAATCACCTCAACTTTTTCATTTCAAAAATATAGCCTTGTTTACTAAAAATGTTAATTCCCAAACACGTATACGAATAATTACGGAATAGAAGATTAAATAACTTTTTGTCGTATTTATTAAGCTGGTTGTCAGCGTCGCGGCAGGTTTTTCATGACATCTTGTTTGCTGAAATGTGGAGAGCGTATAAATAGGATTATAAAGTCGTAACAAAGTCGCGCGAACAGAGTAGACTCCACCTGTCGGTCGCTTTCTACATTCCGGCACGCAATTTCATTCATTTCGATTCGCATTTAACTTTTCAGTCGCCAAAGCCCGATATAGACCGCGTTATGAATAGTGTAACGTCGTTCCCGGAGAGCGTTCAGCATCGCTGCCCCGCAGAGTATCGTAATTCTCTTTATCGCGTCGTGTCTGCAGTCCACCGCTCGCTCGTGTATATCAATGCGATACGGACGAATGCAGTCGCGCATACATGCATACATGCATACGGTGCACACCAGGAAAATCACGTATCGCGTCAAAGCCGATAAGAAGAAATCCAAGAGCGGCGCGTATCCTCTCGCGCGCTCGCGAATATAACACTGCTTTTCGCAAACGCAGTGTTTTATTTAAGAGATTCGCGAAATGCTATCAAAACCCTCTTTCGAAAAAAGAGTACTCACAAGACACTTAAAATCAGAGAATATAAACCGCAAAGTAATATAAGTAATGCTAGAATTTTAGAATACTGAGTAGATTTTACAATAATATCAACAACTGATCTAAAAAACGAATGTGTATATTTAAAAAAATGTTAGATATAACTTAGATTAAAAATTGTAATCTAAATAAAGACTTTTCTACAATTTTAATGTTTGCCATACACAGTACATTATTGACATACATTTAGTATTAATATATTAAAAATCATCAAAAATGTGCCGATCAAATTTCTTTCTTTAGAAAATATATTAATTTGTGTGATATTCTACGAATTAGAATAATTAAATTTCACAAAAAAGTTTCAGAATATATTGTAGAGTTCAAATATTACATTTGTCACAGTCACTTTTATTTAGATATCCTATGTATGTCGATGTATTTCGAAACCTGAAGATAGCCGATTTACTAGGAGAAAAAAATGGACGTTCAAATGTTGCATTTGTTACATTCACTTTTATTTAGATATCCTATGTATGTCGATGTATTTCGAAACCTGAAGATAGCCGACCCACTAGGAGAAAAAAATGGGCGTATCATAATCTGACGGAAAATTTTCCGTGTTAAGCTAATACACAACACGCACAATCGCACTTTTTTTTCGATAAATAGCATATCATCAGCCATTTAGCAATACACTCATCTCGTACTACAAAGTGCTAGTTATTTATAAATATGTATCTACGATTGATTAAAACTGAAGACTCATCCTGACGTCATATATCATACCACTGTTTTCCAGATGAATGTTCATTATATACTTACAACAACACTAAATATAGTGGCGGTATTATTACACGCTATGTGTATATTCATTCGAAAGATAAGTACAGAGAGAGAGAGAGAGAGAGAGAGAGAGAGAGAGAGAGAGAGACATCTGTTTCTTTAATGTATTCAATACATTTATTTAGTAAATTAATTGTGCAATATATTTATTTTTCACGATTATAATGTACGAGCATTTAGATAATAGAACCATGTACAAATAATTCTGTAAATATATGTATGATGTATAATATTGTCAATGCTTCGTAAAGCATGTTTTATTTACTATTTCTTGAGAATTATAAGAGTACTTTGCACTAAGCTCGATTTGCATCAATTTCAGCAGAAGAAAAACAACAAAATGCAAATGCACTTCTATTTGTCGCGTTAAATCAAGAAAATGAGTGCTGCGATTAATTTTCTCGAGAGTAGCATCGTTATCGCTAAGTCCGCGATCTTCGACATCGTAAATAATCTTGATTCCCGCAAAAGCGGTTTATCTCGAAATGCATGAAGCACCGGCGAAAAAAAAAAGATAAGTAGAATATCTAAAAAAAAAAGCCACTCTCTTTAGAAAACATATTTTACATTAAAAATAAAGAATAGTTATGTAAACAAGTGTGTGTAAAAATTTTTAATTTATATATAAGGCTTCAAATATATTTTTAACATTAAAAGCAAATTTTCCATTCTCCTTAGAAATTGATATCCTTTACATCGTGTATTTTAATGAAACACGGAAGGATATTTCCAAAAGTTATTTAGAATTTTGAGAGCTACGTTTACGTAACGTTTTAGCGTCCTTAGCATGAAAGTGCTCGAAATTCGACCGTACCTTTTTCGGACCGTATCGCAATTTGTCCTCGCGAGCGCGCGTTTGCACTTACGCGGATGCAACCGGAAAGGGAATGAATATTTTGCAGCCGCGTCTTGTCATTTGCAATCGCCACGGCTATTCCCGATGCGGCCCCGCGGATTCAATAAGTCGCGCCGGCTAGTCTCGTCTTCTCGCTCTCCGCCTTGTCGACGACAACCGCGCGTATCCGCCGCCGGGCTTTACACGCAGGATGTCCCGTTTAAGAATATAAATGCGGGCTTATATCCCGCGCGTGAGCGCGTATCCTTTCCCGTTTACGAGAAAACATTTTTACAAGACGCGTGTGGTATAATGAGCGGGACAAGCGTGTGTACATCCTCACTTATTATTCGATTTCCACATGAATGGATAGTTGATTCAAATTATCTCCCCCCCCCTCCCCTCTCTGTCTCTCTCTCTCTTTATTTCTTTCTATTAATGAATGGATAATTGATTCATTGATTCTATTAATGTTATAAGTACAAAGAATAATTGATCCTCAATTGAAGTGAGTTTAAATAGAAAACAAGAAGCAGGTTCTTTTCAGGAAATATCTTGAAGATAATTCTATCAAATCTTTTCTAACTCAGCCTCAGGTACAGACTTTATTACTTCTGTCTTCCTGTAGTTTTCGCAAGTCAGAAGGCGCACTTGTCAACGAGACTGTACTTACTTGAGTCGCTTGAAAGCCCGCGTTCATACGCGGTTGTGTCGGTGAGAAGCTCGCGTGTGAGACTTAATTTGTGGTTTTGTGACGTGTGCATGTACGAGCACGCATACAGAGAACTAGGATGGCGCGGCGTGCGTGTGAATGGGCCGAAGACTCACCTTGAAAAGGAGTGAATATCGAAAGAGAGTCTTGTGCGTGCTGCGCGGCGGCGCGGTGTAATGTGTGTAACAAATACGTGTACGCGGCCGTTGGACACGAGACGAACGAGACGCATTTTTGCAGACGCGAAAACCGTTAGGGCACGCCGTAATTGTAGTGACGGCGATTGAAAGTGCGACTGGCCACGATCGCCACCAGACAATCATCTCAATGATCGATGGATCTAGTCCTTCGATCTTTATCTGACAAAGTGATCCATTGACGAGACGATGGGATAAAGCGCTCCTAAGTCATAAATCTTCAATTGCACTTTTAAGTGGAAGGAATCAAATGTCTGTCTGTGATATTTTAAATTACAGATACTGATGAGAATACTAATGCCTTAAAAGTACATGTTAATCCTGAATACCTAATTTTTATTCACAATAATTTAAGTAAGCTTACATTAATTCAGAAGTGGAGAGGCGATGTAAGGAGATTTCAACGATATGTAGAAAATATATATATGATCGTGAGACATTGATTAAGATTTATCGATGCAGGTGGTATACGAAATGTAATTAATCTCAAAGGTAATGAAAGTTGTGTGTGCATTAATCTCGTTGCTTTTAATCGCAAATATAATAATATGCATAAACATGTCGCCTGTCATCCGCGAAGTTGCGAATGCGATCTTTTACGAGAAAGTGTGCGCGTCAAACGGATTTATTATCCGAAGAAGAGAGACACGATCAAGTATGTACATTTGTAAAAAAAATTTGAAAACTCCGTAAACAGATCATTAGCAAGTATGCGTTCATCAACATTCTACATTTATCATGCAAGCTTGCCTTGTGTTATTACAAGCGAAATATAAGATGGGTTTTTATAAACGCGAGAATTTTTTTATTTCGTGTTTATGACTCTGTAGATACGCGTCTACAATTAATTTTTTATCAGTTTTAATTTTTTTGTATGTACACTATCTGTATTTTATAACTCGTACACTCGGCTTGTAGACAGATTATGCAACGAACATGTTCGTCAAGACGAGAAAAAGTTCAAATTATATGTGATGGCTATTTAGCTGACCTACCATCCCTTTGTAACGATTCGACGTGAAAGCATTATGTAGAAAAACCTGTTACACATACGCATATAATCCTGTTTTATAGAAAACTCAAGATATTCCGGATTCCGTGAGAGGGATCGCCGCGACAGGGCTTGAAGTTAGGTATTCAGAAAAGCGCACGGTTCATAGGAAGTCTGCTACGTGACGGCGATGTCAACCCGGCGCGAAGAAACGAGAAATAATAATAAAAAAAAAGGGAGAGAAGAAGGAGGCGAAGAGACGACGAGGCGTTCGACCGTTCCGTCTCTCGCATATGTGATGCGTCCTTAAGGAATTTTTTAGCTTTGCCATGCGCTGTCATCCTGAATTTTACACGGCAAACGATTCCGACGAAAATGCGTTTCACGTACTTTTAACACTGAATTATTATGGTAAGATCAACTTTGTCATCATTATAGATATTTTGTACAGCATGTTTCTCAAATGCTTTTTAATTTGATGTGCAACTATTTTTTTATTACAATGACAGCAGCTAATAATAGAATAAACTTTGCTTTTTCCAGCGCTTGTGAAAGGTGAGATGTATATCATTACGCTACTATTTGTTGGACAATTATTATTCTTGAAAGTTTCTGCATGCAAAAAAATATTGATGCGACTAAGATCCGCTATTAACCTTATGATATTTATGGACCAAGTGGAGAACCATACAAAACAGGCAACGTGGACCTTTTGACCTCCGGAATAATCTTACTTCACGACTGTGCGCGTTCATATACTGCTATTCGCACCTGCCGATTCCTTGAAAAAATTCTGAAGGAGAAATGTTCGATCACCCATTGTCTAGATCTGGCACTGAACAACTATCGCTTCTTGCATTTCAAAAGATATTTCAAAGCTACAGCCCGAAACAAATAGACTAAAAATAATGATGATCAGCTAACTAAAGATAACAATATTTATATGATAACAATTTTTTCCGAAGAGATTGTAGCAAAGAGATTGTAACGAAAGCTGATAATACTAAACTTATCGACGATATTGGAAATATTTCTTGACTAGATACTACTCGTACTTTCAAAACAATAAAGTTCCATGAATCGTTTGCATAGTTTGATGAACAAATTCCGATTTCTAAATTGTATCGTCGGAAGCGTACAAATATTAAATGGACGACTGATAATTTCGGAGGCGAAATGACATCATGGCCGACGCCAACGAGGGTTGGTGCATTACGGCAAGAAGGGACCATTTGACCCCACACTCATTGTTTCTAATCCCACAATAAATTGAAGCAGCTGTACCGGCAATTGATACAAATTTACGTACAGTCCGACTCATAAGGCGTAGTTCTTACTCGCTGCGACGCTGCTGCGACTTCGTCTCCGCGCGTATGACTTGTTTATTAAATTGTATCTTGTTCTGTATTTTACGTATAAATCTTCAATTATGATGAATCGTAAACTATTAAGAGTAATACAAACTTCATAGCTTTTATATCATCAAAATAAAAGCCATCAATGTAAGACACGAATAAAGTTCATTGATGTCGTATTTAGATATTAAGAAAGTAAAATTTAAATATTTAATTCACACACACATAAGATATAAACACTAAAATAAAAATATTAAATTAATGTATTTAATATATAATTAATGTTTTCCGATTACTTAACGATGTCAGTAAAAATTGTCGAGAAGGATTGTAAAGCTATTCAAATAAGACATATTTTGCATTCATGAATCTAATAATTCAAGTAATCCGAGACTTAATGACAGTCTTACAATAGCAGTTTGTCATGGTTTGTTTCAAATATCAGAATGTCGACTTGACGACGGATAAGGCAAAATTTTATACGTTTTGCGAAAAAGGAGTACATATCAGCGTCAGCGTCTGACAAGAGTGATCCTTTTTCTCTTTTACATTCGCATTAATTTTTAAATCTTTGCGTCTATTTGGTGTAATATGATTTGCTTAAAAAGGAAGTCACAAAAAATGCTAAGACTCCGGTTACTCTAAATATGTCTTATTAAAGAACTTTAGACGAAGTCAATGTCCCACAAATTAATAAAATTAAAAAGTAACGTTTATTCTTATAATTGGCTATCATTCTAATTAAGACTTTAATTGTCTAAAATGCCTAGAGAGTTTTAAATAAACCAAAAAATTTTTAAAAATTACTAAAAAAAATTATTTCTTTTAAATTACGTTTTTTACATATTTTTCTCATTTCATTAAAAATATATCGAGCATAAATTTGCAATTCAGCTATTTTAAATTTTGTTTTGAAAACAAAGAAGAACAACAAGCAGTTTGCATAAATGAAGCGATTTACAAAAATACTGGCTTAATGAATACATTCGCTTGACGAAAAAATGCCAGTATCGTCAATGTAGGCGCAAAAAAGATTGGATTTTTGTCGCAGACGATTCGCGTCACTGTGTCGGTTCCTGGCTGCCGCATATCTACGACAAAGATAACACGGATTGACGCGGGCGGACTGAGCGATAACACGGTCGTTGATTTTTTTTCGCGAAGTCAGTTGAAAGTTATCGGACAGCCTCTCGAGAGGTCAGACCGGGACTCGACTCCGTTCACAACCGTTGCTTCTCTTCTTCCATACGAGGAATAACTCTCTACGCGCGGTCATTTTTCTTCATCTGCCCGCTCGTAAAATGTCAGAAACAAACAATGCAAGAACGCAGGCCGAGAAAGTGCATAGAATGCACCGCAGACCCACATATCTGTGCACCATTTTTTCCATATGACATACATAATGTTGCAATATTATATTCTCTTGAAGGCATCTACAGCTCTTTTACTACGATAGATTTTAATTTTAAAAATTAGAGATGCAAAATCTTTTTTTATATTTGTAGATTTATTCACTTTTTTACTAAGCTGTTCAATTCTATTTGTCAAAGATCCATTTTCTAGATTTTTTTGTAGATATAATCGATCGCACTTTTTCAAAAAACGACAATTTTTGTCTTGAAGAAAATTTCAATGTTTGACTCTCGACTTGAACGCTGGGCTGCGTGCTACGGACCATTATTTATTTTTATTCCTTCTGGAACAATTTCAGTTCCAGGAGGATTGATTGCACGTTGCATCCATTGCAAGAAGCTTTGTTTGCATGAAACTCTCGCGGTTAGTTAATCGCTCAGCGATGACGACACGCGATTTATCGTGCGCGTATAATTATAACTCACAGTAAAAACGGCATCGACTGCTTTAACGGCGGGATCGGTCGATTATGTCGATTGGTGTTATTCAAATTAATTTTGTGATAACCGGAGATGACCCCTTGCAGGCAAGATAACACCCGTCACGGAAAATCGAGGAAGGCTATGCTTGCCCCGTTTGATCTTTCTGTAGATCTTCCATGGAAATTGTATACGCTGCAAAATATATTTTTTTATTATTTAGCACTTAATAAACGCAATAACGCAATTCATTATTGACTATTTTTACTATTTCATTTGCGATAACTAGAAAGAAAAATATTGTTATTATCAATGCAAAAATACTAATAATTAAAAAAAAATGTTTACACTTTAATCTTTATGTATTTTATGCAAAATTGATATACCTAAATATAAAATGTAAAAAAAGGCACTCAAATAATTTATGCATTATTATCTCTTGAATTTTTCTTAACTTATTCGTAAAAAAAGGCAAAATCTACGTTTCGAACGCTGAAATAAAGCAATTATCTGTTCGACGAGTCTTTGATTCGCATTTCTAAAAGCGCTAAAACGATAATCGTGGGAAGAGGATCATTTTTGGAGCGTGCGGGAGATGAGTTCACGCGGTCGCTTCACCTCTTTTCGGGGCGCGAAAATTAATTAACCCGCCGTCACAATTTCACGAAGAAACGTGACACTCTCGATCCGACCGGCAGCCGATGCAATCATGGTGTGCCGAACCGCGATTCAATGTCATGTGGCGAATCGCATTTACGAGCGAGCCAACTTACGCAACCTGTGCAATACAAGGTGGAATGAAAGTGCGAGAGTTGAGACTTTATCAATGGCTCGCAGCAAAGAGCTCCTCACAGCAAAGCGCGCACGTCAAGATTACCGCGCGCGAGAAAGGCGGGAACCTTTGATCCGGGCGTTTCATCTCGGAAGGCCTCTCGTGGGCTCTTCGCATCATGCAACTCGTATTTATATGTGAACGTCTGTTCAAAGTTCGCCTTTGCGTTAACCCTAGAATGCGTGACTTATTTTTTTTATATATACTTTACTGGCGCGCGCGTCAGCTGCAATAACGGACTCGAAAACTCATGTTGTCCGTGTAACAATTTACACATTTCATATTTTACTGCTTACAAATATAAAAGTAAAATAAATTATACATTTAAAAGAAAAAATTTGTTTTAATCTACAATGCTACCTGCAAAATTTTTCTCATATCATATTTCCAATTAAATGTCAAATAAAATTTTTTATGTATTTTTCGCTACATTGTAAAAATTATTTCTTCAGGAAACATAAATTACTAGATTTAAATTTTAATGATGTGCTGTCAACTGTTTTAATTATTCTAATAAAAAAAGATTACAAGGGACGTTCGTAAAAGAAAGCGGTGCTAATGGTGAATATCGCTGAATTGTTTTCCATCGTATGCTCTTAGTTTTACGACCGTGCATTTAAAATTCAAGCCATTTTGCTATCTCTATGCCAATTAAGTCACATCATCAAAAGAGGTCATCGATCTTTCGCTGCCCTTACGAAAGATGCTATTAAGGAAACGCTGAATGTGTTTAATATTTACGAACGAAACCGCATATAATTGACTCGATTATCCCCTTTCCGAATTTGATCTTAACGAATTAAAAAGTCGTTCCTCGTCCTTACATCATTTATATTTTTTATCAGCATTATCTGTATATTTCGAAAACTTTCTAATAACTAAGCAGTCATTAGTGTTAAACAATAAAACTGCGTAAAGCTTTCATATAAATTCCGCAGATAAACGCGTTTATGAGTAATAATGTAAATGGCATTAAGCATCATTTGCAACTAATGTATAAAATTTTTCTCTTTAAGACGTTTCAATTGGAAGAATATTAATCAACTAACGATTTTTAGATTATATCAATATACAAAGGTACGAAGAAGATTCTTTTACTCAACCACCCAGCTGCAAAATGTAAAGGATTACTTTGAATCAATTGTGAATTCATATAAAGATAAAATCCTTTTAATTTCCAATAGCAATATTTACGTATCAAAAGGCTACTACGACTGAAAGTATTGGAATATTTTTCGGTTACGTCTGTTTAGCATCTTAAGAGGCTTCGCGAGCTACGAAAGCTCGGCGATTCTGACAGGCGAACGATCCTCCCCGTATAGAGGAGGAATAAATTGAAAGGATCTAACTGGCAGCAGTCGAGGATCGATGGTTATAGAACAAGCAAGCCACTCCGAAGTGAGAACGAGATGAATGACTGGTTGCGAACTGGTCTGGTCGGCTTCGAGTGTCTATCTATGTATTGTATAGTCGGAAGAAGTCGGAAGTATTGAAGTGTATGGCTGCGAGATGGAAACACAAAACCAGACGCGAGTTACGCGACATATTCTACCAGGAAACGTTTAATATGAAATAAACTCGCGTGCGCGCCTCAGCGAGCATAAAAAGCAACGGTGCGATATCAATCCGTATCGAATATCAGGAAATTAAATATATGAACTCGCGCAACAAACGCAAAGAGGTCAAACGACAGCGCAATTATATGCGAAATTTGATTGTATTCATTTCATCGCGGAAATTGAATTTCCGTACCGTAAACTTATTTCAGCCAATTGAATATTAAGAGTTTTTTTATTCATGAGTGCCGCATAAAAGAATTAATTTTTATCATTTGAAATGTTTTATAAACATTCGTAAAATATACTTTACTGCTCTACAATTAAATTGTTCGACTTTTCACAATTTAATTTGCACGATTTTTGTTATTTTCGCAAACCTTTTGATAACATATGTTCAGATATAAAAGCATGCCAGATTCCTATCTTGTAGAGCTGT